CCACAGGACACACTGCTGGCTCATGGCCAAATGGCACGGCAAGACACATGGCAAGTTCTGGAGGTACAGCTCTGGCCAGTAACATTAAAATTTATAACACCCAGTTACTGGCACATTTTACTGTGGTATTAATGTGAACTCGCAGGTGCTTCATTTTAAGAGTTACCTGTATCCTGGCCCTGGGGCCAACCAACCTGAAATAATTTGCTTTAAATGCTTCAGTCTTGGGAGTTTATTTGGGGAAGAATATAGCAATTTTCTTGTAAATGAGGAACACATTCAAGTCATCCTTAGTTATTCTGTCTTCTTATCAGACTTAAAGGATACAGTTGCCATCTCCTGTGGCCTCAAATGTCCGTATGTACCTGCTTTCCAACTATAATGTTTCACCCAGGCTTACCAGAAATTGGAACAGTGCTATGAGTAGTTATCAGGCACCAGCTTTGATGAGAAACACTCAGGTTGAAGTGGACTTTTATTCCCCTGACAAGCAGACATCAACTGTGGAATTCCAACTAGAGCAATTATTTAAACAACCCCCCCCTCAACATTAAAATAACTATTATTTAATTTATTGACTTATTAAATTTACTAGCTGTATATATCATCACCTTCTACTCTGCCTGAAGTTAGAAATTAGCTGAGTCTTGAAAAATACGTATCCCTACAGACCACAACTGTAACATGCTCTCACCTCAAAGAGTTAAAATATATTCACAGAAAAAAAAAATAAAATAAAAAATAATAATCTCAAAGATAAATTGTAGAAGGCTCCAGTTATTTGCTTTGAATGAAAGAAAAACGGTGAAAATCAAACAGTATAAACTGGAAAAAGAAAGGAAAAAGAAAGGAAAAAGAAAGGAAAAAGAAAGGAAAAAGAAAGAAAAAAAAGAAAAAAGAAAGAAAAAAGAAAGAAAAAAAGAAAAAAGAAAGAAAAAAGAAAGAAAAAAAGAAAGAAAAAAGAAAGAAAAAAGAAAGAAAAAAGAAAGAAAAAAAGAAAAAAGAAAGAAAAAAGAAAGAAAAAAGAAAGAAAAAAGAAAGAAAAAAAAAAGGAAAAAAAAGAAAGAAAAAAGAAAGAAAAAAGAAAGAAAAAAGAAAGAAAAAAAGAAAGAAAAAAGAAAGGAAAAAAGAAAGAAAAAAAGAAAGAAAAAAGAAAGAAAAAAAAAAGAAAGAAAAAAGAGGCTCATGAAAGGAAATTTTTATACACACTTAGAGTAGCTATCAAAATCCCCAGTTAAAGATACCACAGGACTGTGTACTGCTGTTCTACAAATTTAAGTGCTCTCGAACAATTCCCAATCTGAATTCTATTTTCTTTAACTGACCCTCTGAGAAAGGGTCACAAGCATTCTGTGTTGCTGGCTAATACGGAGCTTACATAGCCCATAAAGGAACTTTTAATGGTATTTCTGTTTCATATTGAAGCAAGAAATGAATTCATGCACATATTAAGCAATTTATGTCATAGACTAGGATAAACATTAAATTCTTTCAACTGAGACATAAAACCACCATGGAACTGACCATTCATGGCATGAGAGAGGCACGATACGAGGTGTTAACTCCAACGTCCTGGACAAATTCCAACCTTTTTAATCGCTGTCAGTGTTCTAACTTTGCAATTGCACACTGATACAATATTCCTGCCTGCTCCTTATACTGCCCTAGCACAGTATCACTGGCACGTGTTCCTCCACAGAGTTCTGCTCTGTATGTTGCAGTGTCTGTGGTCATAAACCTTCTGCTTAAGAAATTCTAGGTTGAATGTCTAATAGAAGTATTTTTTCCTAGTATATATTTAAAAAAAAAGAAAGGGAAAAAAGAAAGGGAAAAAAGAAAGGGAAAAAAGAAAGGGAAAAAGAAAGGGAAAAAGAAAGGGAAAAAGAAAGGAAAAAAGAAAGGGAAAAAAGAAACAAAAAAGAAAAAGAAAGGAAAAAAGAAAGGAAAAAAGAAAGGAAAAAAGAAAGGAAAAAAGAAAGGAAAAAAGAAAGGAAAAAAGAAAGGAAAAAAGAAAGGAAAAAAGAAAGGAAAAAAGAAAGGAAAAAAGAAAGGAAAAAAGAAAGGAAAAAAGAAAGGAAAAAAGAAAGGAAAAAAGAAAGGAAAAAAGAAAGGAAAAAAGAAAGGAAAAAAGAAAGGAAAAAAGAAAGGAAAAAAGAAAGGAAAAAAGAAAGGAAAAAAGAAAGGAAAAAAGAAAGGAAAAAAGAAAGGAAAAAAGAAAGGAAAAAAGAAAGGAAAAAAGAAAGGAAAAAAGAAAGGAAAAAAGAAAGGAAAAAAGAGCCCTTCCCTAGAAACAAATGGGTCTCCAGTATAGAAGAGAACCCAGGAGAAGATGTTTTTGTGTCCCCCTTTAAAGACTGAGTAAACCTGAAGCTATTTTCTCTACTTTCCTAGGTGTTTCAAGGTGCTTGTTCTGCAACCCTAATCTGAAGGTGTTAAGATGTCCTGCTCCCCTTCTCGTGGAGTACATGCTTACCTCTTGTGCAGCTTAATTTCTTCTGTAAATATAGACAAGTGCTACATTTGCTCTCTAGGCAATGACAACAGTAGATCACTAATACCTTCAGCTAGGTAATGGAAAATCATCTTCTGAAACCCAGCAACAAGCTTCTAACTCCTTGTCAGCAACTGTTCACTGAAGAGTTCAAAGCCAAACCACTCTCTACTCCCGAGTAGTCCTACCCAGCTTTCAGAGAAACTCTCTCTAAAGCATCATAAAGTGAGCCAGTTAACAGGTTTGGTTTTATTAGTTAAAAAAAACCCCTAGTGTTTTATATTTTGACACAGAGAAAATTAACTGATTATGAGTGAAAATCATCCGCAGGCTTTTATATAGTAAAAAATCAGAACCAGCTGCATGGTGCAGAAGGTTAATTAATACTCCAGTGTTGCTTCTTAACAGAGGTGAGTTCAAACAGTGAAACTTTTTTTTTTAAATACCACAGCAAAACACTGATCATCAATTTCTGCATAAGAGAAATCACGTAGAAATAACATGCAGAAAATGACATAAGAATAATTAGCTATTTCATCAGAATTCCATGAAAGAGCCTTGCAGATTGTTTAAGATCTTCTGTATTCCCACCAACTATTTCCATTGCAGTTACTCATTTTTAAGAGCACCAAACTCACACTAAATTCAAGAGAAATAAAGTGTGTGTGTATGCGTGCATGCAAGAAAAATAAATAAACAGAGAAACAAGCAAGCAATTTAGTGAGTGCAACAGCAAAAGTTAAAAGTTCGTATTTCACTGCCAGGACATAAAATAACTTCTAGTTATTTTGCCAGTTGTCATAAAATATATTAACTTCATCTGTGCAAGTTACCAACACAACACATACACACACAAACACATATACACAGAATTATTACCAAGTTCCACAGCACATACCTTTCATATGAGGGGAAAAAAACAAACAAAAACCAAACCCACAATTTGTTTTTTGAGTGAATCAAGTGAATTTACTTACCACAGCTGGGGGATCATTCCATTCCTCATAAGAAATGGCAGCATATGGGTAAATTCTGTCATTGATAATCTGAAGAGTAGCAAGAGCAATCGCTTTCATCGATCGAAAATACGCTTCCCAAAACCACCTTGCCTGTAAAGAGAATAAAGTTCAGTCCCACACTGCACGGATCCAGTGCTTCATCATCAATTTTGGTTTGCCATGCACAATTTCTTTCATGCAATCTACAAGTCAGGTGGAAATTAAATTAGGAGGCATGTTTATTGTAGCTAGGGTATTTCCATAGAGCCTGAAGGCTTCAAACTCAACCCTGCTCCCCCCCCAAAAAAACCCCAGGATTTACAGCCAGTGAAAAGAAGCAGCAGTATTTCTTTACAAATTATTAAACAAAATAAGAATACTTGAAGGAATCAGTTACTTTCACATTTTTATCATAAGTTTTCCTCTTGAAAATTGTCAAAAGCAGTTTGACCCCAGAAGAGAAGAAATTGCTGTTACACACAGCTTCTCCAAAGCAGAGGAATCCACAGTGCAGCTCAATAGCCAAATAAAAGCATGCAGCCTAAAAGGTGGAACTTAAAATTTTTCACATCAATATTAGAGACAGCTGATCAGCTAGAGAATTTCAGTACTCATGAACCTTACCAAACTAATACCTTCCCAAACCTTCCAAAAACCAAATACTATTTATACAAGTAAATATTGAGATTTTTACATAGAAGGACACGCACATGCCAATTTGTTAGCATCGTTAATCCGGGCTAATTTACAACAAAGGCAGTGTACAACTGCTGAGATGAAGCATGTGATATTTCTTATTCACAGACGCACTGAATTTCACAGATGAGTTGTTTTCATGCTAAGGTCCTGTAGGGCAAGTTTTAATCTTATTCCAGTTTCTATGTAAAACAGAAATGCTGGAAGAAAAGCAGGGGTTTGGAAATTATATTCTTGACTTATCTGATTCTCTGTTAGAGACATAAACATATTTTTAAAATGCCTAGAACCATCAAATGATCTTGCAGGACCCCATCCAACCCAGAAGGAAACACACTTTGCCAATAAATGTAGTTTAAGTGTTTTGGCCCAAGATATGTGAATTTTTTTTCACCCTATTTTTTCTTCAGAAAACTCCAGCACCCTGAAATGTCCAGAAGATAATTTAATTTGCAGTCTCCCCATGGTTCAGTATCAACTACAGGAGTACGTCTTGGCATCTAGGTTTGTAGAACAACTAAAACAAAAGACATCTTTTCCATAGTTGGAAGCTTCAGAAGCTTTCAGTGCCAGAATACAACATACCAATTTGGGCAAGTGCTATTTTACTCTTGCTATGGATTTCTTCAACAGCAAAAAGGTTCTACACACAGGCTAGTTTTAATCATGTGCTATGAGAATATGAAATAATAATATTGAGAATATTAAGTTACTGAAGGAATACTAAGCTTTTGGAGGCACAGACTTCAAGATGAACCAAAAATAATCATAGGATCGTAGAATGGTTTGGGTAGGAAGGGACCTTAAAGATCATCCAGTTCCAACCCCCCTGCCATCAGCAGGGACACCTTCCACTAGACCAGGTTGCTCAAAGCCTCATCCAGCCTGGCCTTGAACACTTCCAGGGAGGGGGCATCCACAACTTCGTTGGGCAACCTAAAAAGCCACCAGATTTGTCAGGCATGACTTGCCCTTGGTGAAGCCATGCTTCTTGGTGAAGCATATTTCTCATTTAGCTGAAGACAAAGAGTGATTCCTACATGTACAGCTCATGCTGGAGCATTCCTAGGCTAAATAACAGAGTAGAGGGAAGATTACAAGCAGGGAAAATGTAGATTCACAAGCAAACTTGCACATGCTACTTGTATTTTACTCTGAGTGTGAGTTACAGGATTCAGAACTAAATACCTGTTCTGTGGGTATTTTGTAAAATAGGTTCTTCAGAATAGTTCTGCTGAATATTTAAGATGAAAAAAAATCCATGTTACAATTAAAAACAGCAAACTAGGAAAGAGACAAGTGCTCTCTGGAGCACTTTTATTGTGAGAAAAAATTAACAACCACAAGCCTTACTACTTCAGAGTATTTAAAGATTTTATTAAGGAGATGGATGAGTACGTCCAAAAATTACACTTCTCTAGAGCTTGTCATCCAAAGAGAGTGCAAAGCAATTTAATTCTAGGATGGAATCACTTCCCTCTGCCTATTTCTCTCCCTTGTAGGATTTAACAGCTGGATAACAGGCCGATTACCAAGCAGATAGAGCAAAATGAACATTACATGCAACTGTAAAAGCAGAAAAATTACATAAACAGGTAAGAATAAATGTCTGCCTTCCTAAAATACCAAAAAAAAGCTAAAATAAAGCAAACACCACGTGCTAAGCAAAGACTTAAGTATTCCTTTTCAGGTGCCTCACTTCTGAAGAAAAATGTATTATCCAGAACTCAGCAGCAACTGACTTAAAAAGAAATCCAGAAATAGATTAAGAATTAAAATTGACCAGAACAGTGAACCTCCCTCCTAAGGTATCCTAAACAAACAAGAGTAAGAACACAGATTTCAAATTTCATTTTCACATCAGATAACAGTTTAGAACCACTGCTATAAGCAGCACTAAGTGGGAAGGATAAATTATTTTATGTAGTCTTAATATATAAATTTATAAAGCAATTAAGCAGCTATTGTGTGAAATACACACAGGACTGTGTATTTCACTGTTATTTAATGAACCCATACTGTGTTCTAACTCTAAGATGGTTTATTAATACTGTAAATATCTATGATCATCTAGGTTCACAGCAATCAAAGCTGTTTTTCTTCCTTTGGTAAAACTAGGATGGATCTGATGTAGCTTTTCTTTGCTGAAAGAAGGTTTGCAACATCAGGCAAGGTTACACCTTTATACCAGCAGGAAAACTGGAGAAGAGGGCAGAGGGAATTTATTCTTCATAGACTAATATTTATGTAATTAATTTTTGGTAAAGAGTTAAAAAATGTTCCCACAGTTAGTTGAAATTTTTTTTTTTTTTTGGGGGGGGGGGGGAGTTGTGTTTCTTTAAGGCAGAACTCAAAACCTTCTAAGGGGATTGGAAGTCTCCAAACAGATGTTCCAGGGTCTCATTACTTCCTCCCCACCTTGTTTGCTTTTATAAAGCAGAACTGATTAACATGGCTCGCTGGTGTCTGCTGCTCAGCATGCAAAGTTACTGAACGTTTTGGGAAAGTTTCTACTGGGAAGATGTATGTTGATTCCATTTCAAATGTATTTTCTGCTCTACTTGGTGTGGTTGAAAAGCTTCTGTTGGAGTATAACAAATACCTAGGAGGGATAAAAATTCCATGAACGCGTTTGGGATACAGGAGAGAGAAAAAACAACAATAAAACCAAAATAAAATTAAAAATTAAAAAAAAAGACAGCTAGAGATCTGTTCCTGACTTTTGTGCCAACTTTCTTAGTATTCTTTTTCTTTTCCTGAGCTGTCCATTTCTCTTTTCTGTATCTATGAATTCAGATTACTAATGGTTATATACTCAAGAATATAATACCTCTCCTACGAGGACAGGCTGAGAGAGTTGGGGCTGTTCAGCCTGGAGAAGAGAAGGCTCCAGGGAGATCTTATAGCGGCCTCCCAGTACCTGAAGGGGCTACAAGAAAGCTGGGGAGGGACTTTTTATAAGGGCAGTTAATGACAAAACAAGGGGAAATGGGTTTAAGCTGAAAGAGGGGAGGTTTAGATGAGATACTAGGAAGAAGTTCTTCACTGTGAGGGTGGTGAGACAGTGTCCCAGGTTGCCCAGAGAAGCTGTGGATGCTCCTCCCTGGAAGTGTTCAAGGCCAGGTTGGATGAGGCTTTGAGCAACCTGGTCTAGTGGAAGGTGTCCCTGCTGATGGCAGGGGGGGTGGAACTGGATGAGCTTTGAGGTCCCTTCCAACCCAAACCATTCCATGATTCTATGAATACACTGAGTAAGGTTTTATAAGGTATAGTAATTGTTCCATACTAATTAGACCTACCTGAAAGCCTTTCAGGATCTTGAAATAAACAATCTGTAATTATAGATCTTGTTTTCCACATAGCATTGAATTACACACAGTCTAAAATTATGACATGGTCAAGCTACCATTCCTTTCAACTTGAACTGGAATTAACTTCTAGTACTCTTAGAAGCCTGCTTGATGAGGTTTCAGACTTTTCAAAGGAAACACACTATGTGGAGCACAGACTTGTAGAGAATGCTAACTCTGCATACTCCTAAATTTTGCTTGGGTCACGGGCAATCTAAATTGTAAATAGAGATCAAACACGTACTTCATACAACTGCCAAAACAACACAGATAAACTATACTAACCTATGGGATCTTGTTCTGTGTGCATGGCTTATTAGGAATTGCAAACAGGGATTGAAGAAACACAGATTCTCTTCCCCTTCTCAATTTCTAGATAAATAGAAAATCTAGGACTGATCCAAGATGAAAGACAGAAATGTTTTACTTGCTATAACAGCTTTACCAACACATGAAAGAGCCAAATGTAGAGTACTGAAGGACTTGACCGAGAATGAGAAATACATGACATTATTGGGTTGCCCAATGGGTTGAAAGTGACTGGAACATCTTATAATACAATACAGATCTCTTCTAATACAACATGAAACTAATTGGTGTGAATTCAACTTCTGCAGAAAATTTACAACACCGAGACAGCCTCATCATAGAGGCCAAAGACTGAAGGAATCAGAGACAAAACTCTCCCCTCTCTCCAAGAGGTGAGCTCTGCAGACCAAGGTCACCAACATGGGCATGCCAGTAGATAACTCGAAGTTGTTTCCCTTCCTTCCTCCACACCCCAGTTTCAACTGCTGCATCCTCATTAGACTGGCCATGAAAACCCACCACTTTCTGTAAAGGCTAAAATTGCTTAATATAATGTAGAGGTATTAATTTATCTCTACAAATACACACACACCAGCAATATCTGTAAGACAGAAGAAAAAAAAAATTAGAAGCTTTGGGTAGTTTTGTTTCTCAAAGCAGTAGATGGTATAGGAAATTTTGCATTCCTTCAACCAAGTAAGCAAGCAGCCAAACCAAAAGTTCAATTCTACTTGTTTTCATTTCCAAGACTTTGTT